CTCATTCTTTCTTTTCAGTTAACTGTGCACTCTGCTGGCTCAAAGTGAGAACAAACACAAAGAGACAATGAGGAAAATAGGATATATAAAATAGGATGTAAAGGATATATAGCTTCTGAGGCTTAAAGCTCGGTCTTTGAGTACATATCTTACTGAACCGTGAAGTTGGACCCAAATAGAGGCACTCAAGTGATACACGTGCTGTACAACCGTGTGACGTTAGCATGTAGTCAGAAGCACAATAAAGTTATTTTGGTCCTGCGATTTGTCAGGCTACAAAGTTTGTTTGCGCTCACTTCTCTATACAAAGCAGTGGAGCGTGTCCTACATTAGGACCTTATCAGCTGCTAATAACACTTCCTTAATCTTCATGACGAAAGAGGCTGAGCAACAGACGCACCAAATAAACAATACAGGTAGGTAACAATGAGCAACTATCGCTGTTTGGCTCAGCTACTTAGGAGTAACACTAAAGGAGTGAAGAAGTCGGTCCGGTGAAAATGTGATGAACAGAAATTAAAGAGTTCCACCATAACTTTAAACTAACATGAGCGAATTTTCTAAACACCCCTAGAGCGTCTGTCCATGACTAACACATCCAGTATACTAACCATACTGGTAATGTTGACTCAACCTAGTTTTAGCCTTCTCGTAAATAGCTAGAGTGTGCCCGTCATTTCAGCCATGCTTCTGATTCATCGATCATGCAACCTTAGTTCCTTCGAAACAACCGTGACTAACTGTACAGTGGGCGATCTAAAAGCCTTGAACTATTCAGACCAAAACAGTTTTTTGGACTGGACTTCAAACTTGTTTAAAAACTGGCCATTTTGGTGTCTGTTCTGGTGCTTCTAAAGCTAGCCTCAAGCAGGCGCCCAGGGGAAGGCAGTTTTTATCACTCACGCACAGGGATTAAATATTAATGTTGTAACGAGAAACAAATACGGTTTTAGTTTATGGTTAACTCTTGGCTATGTCATTGAGTCCCCAACCTTTTTTGACTTGCGATAGCATTGTGAAGCCACGAATCCCACTCTTGACGCAGAATTACAAAAAATGTTTGGTAAAATTGAAAAGTTTTTAATCATGATGTAGTTAAGAAATGTAAAAGTGTGTCGTAAGTGATAATTGATCTAGACCAAGTTTAACTCCTTTAATCAGGTGACCACATGTCCGGCCTTGTCGGGGGTTGTTTATAAAATCCTTCAAATGTCCTGGGTTTTGCATGGAAGTTTTGAGTTTGTGTGGTGTGGACTAACTAAATTAGAAGTGCGTAAGAAACATGCCAAACAACCTCATTTTATGTCAGAACCCTGAGGCCGGGAAAGCCTGAGCCTTTTGTAACTTTATGCATTTAATCTTATGTTGAAGTTTAGACCCCTAACTGTCTGGTCATTAATGTGACCCTAATATTCTGTCGTGTCGACCGACCTCATCATCTTCATGCACTTTGTCTGCTGCATCGACTGTATCCACGGCCAGGTGACGCATTACATTCGAAAGACAGAAACAGGTAGTCGTCATAATGATGACTTTCTTGCGTGTGGGCTTCTGTCTCAGAGCTCAAAAATGTAAAATTCCGATGTTTGTGGAGAAAAAAGCTGCTGTATTTATACTTTATGGCTCTATTTTGCTAATTTTAGCATCTTAAACTTTTTACCTGTTCTCTGCTGCAGGTCGGTGCTTTTCTCATGTACAGTTTGCATTAGTGCTCTGCTGCCTCTACACAGTGGCACTTTGGCAGAATTACGGACGTACTGACTCGTATGCTGAAGACTTCATTGGCTGAGGCATTCAGCTAAACTCAAACACATCAAGATGAATGGGTCGAGCCTAATGAAGCGGATTTTAGAGGCTGATAAAAGACAGCTCATTAGATTTTTACATGAAATGCTTCAAAATTGCCTTCTAATGACTTCTGCCTCGAATGAATCATGAGCTCCATAGAACTGGGACAAAACAGCCATTTCTCACTTTTATCTTTGTTATGACTGAGATGTAGAATGAAAGATATCCAACGTTAATATCAGCTGAACATAAAAACTGAGCAGCTCTAATGAAAAGTTATGATTTCAGTCGACTTTGCTTGGTTTACGTGATTAACTGTCACTTAGTATGAGTCAACATAACATTAAGCACAAATGCTTTGGCATTAGGAAAACCTGATGTCCTCACAGACGAAATAGAGCTTTTAAGCATGATTAAATTCAATATACATCATAAAGATAATCTCAGAATGTTCCAGTTAGATGAGAAATTTAGAAACGCAGTGACATCCAGCTGAGAATTACAACAAAATTAGTAACATCTTTTATGTTCACGTCTTCTCCTTTCTCTTACTCGTACAAATCAACAAAAACAAAATTATTCACTCAATCTTTTACCCATTTGAACACCAATGTAGAGGCTCAGTTTCAACACCAACAAAGCTAATGAGAATCTAATGAATGATATGAATAAAACACTGTGAAATGAGACTGACAGGGTCAAAAATAAGTGTGAATGGAAAGCTTGTTTGCAGCGTCACAAACTCATAATTTGTTGATAGATAAAGAGTAAGTGTTGGCTCCACTCACCCACTGTATTCAAAAACTCCTCAAACACATAAAGTCCTTTCTACGACGAAACACGTGAGCGCTTATGATACGACAGGTACGGATTCATTTGAGTACTTTTCCTTTCTGTATTTTTCTTATAACATCCTCTGTTTAATATGTTTTTGCCCAGTCAACCTTGATGGTAATAAATGGGCTTCCTGAGAAGAAGAATAGGGCTGTAAATGTGAGTAAGAACTTCAGAGTGAAAGGTTTTACGCAAGGAAAGGACAGTCAGACGCTCATTGGCCTGATTTAACCATAAAGTCTTCCCTTCGCCGAACTTTACCATCAGGAAAGACTGACTATGAGTCGAAGTGGAATCTGATCAAATAGCCAATCATTATTAGGGATTTTAGGAGCAGAAACTGGGTTGGTCAGTCAGATTTCAGAGGTGGACCATGAGGAACTTTGTTGTTTACCAGTTTATGGTTGTCTCTCCACTGTCAAACGTGTGTTTATGGGCGCTTTTGTTGAGTCTCGTGATTAACTTCCTGGAAACTTCCCTGTATAAACTGTAAAGAGCTTTTAAAAATCTGTGTAAGTATTGTGGTAGTAAAATATGTCTCAAACATGTTTTTACTAACCCAAAAAAGTGAAGTGAACACAGCCTCTGTGTCTGCTGAGTGAGATGCAAGCAGAATAATTCCCATTCTTCCCCAGGCCAGCAGGGGGCGACCCACCGATATTGGTGTGATTGCATTAAAAGCTATGAGAACATGACAACACTTCTCACTGGGGTAATTGATTAACATTTTCCTAGTTAGTCCATATTCTCCATCAGTGTTTAATCCTCCTCACTGCAGCTATAATAGTCATTTTGCAGAACAAAAACATCAGTAAATCAGATGTTAAGTAAAGTACGCTTTAGGTTGCTACTATTGGAAGATGAGATTTAAATTTGTGTATGTCGATTCTCATTTTTCTCAGGTTAAGATAATTTGATCTACAGATGAGGATTAGAGCTGAATTTTGAATGGTGCTCTCTCCCTAATGCTGCTGGTGAAGTGACATTATTTACCACTTTATTAAAGCGTCTGCAGTTTTCAGTCCACCTCTGGTCAAGCTGTACGATAATTTCCTGTTTGAGGCAGACAGCACAGGTTGCCCCCTTGTTCCTGAAGAGTACATTCGGTTAAGTGTTTTAGGTTAATAGTTAATGATGGACAGCACAGTGTTGGACAAACAACCCCTGAGATTTTGGACTGTTTTGGTGATGAGAAACCTTACCAGGCAGTTACTCAACCAACATCTCCACCCTGGCATCTAAATATGGTCACTTCTGGATTTTTATAAACCAATATGGTGACAGAGATTAGGCTTTAAGAAGTCAAGTCATCATGCCCACTGAGCATTTTTTGGTCTAAAAAGAGGTCTAATAGACGTCCAAATGTAGCCTAGATGACTGGTCTAAAATCAGGCTACCACAGGTCTAAAAATGTAAGTTTTTTTAGACGTCTAGACCAAGTTTAGACTAAATCTGAATCTGGGCTATATCTATACTACAGTGTATATTGCTCAACGGCTATCATAAGTTAGCGAATAATGGGTTAAAGTGCAACGTCTAAATCCCATCTAAAAATATACAGAATCTAGACGGTTGAAATAAGGTCGGAAAAAAAAAACTAGACGTCTAATAGCCGTCTATTGATCAGTGGGTGGCAACATCTAATTCTCAAATCCAGTTTGAAAGATAAAGTCATTTCTAGCTATAAAATTATTTTCATGTCACATAGTGACCATTTTGTATGAGCTGAAATTTAAAGAACTTAATTTGGACAAATCAGTCTTTGTTTATCTTGAAAATAAATCTCATCCAGTATCATTTGTTATGTGAGAATGATAAAACCAGGACTGCTTCTTCAACTGCGCGGGTGACACCTACCCCCCTCACATCGGCTTCAGGTGCTAAAAATTACAGCCTAAAATAACTCATGTTGTGGCTGGTAGTCTTGTTTGTTTTTATATAACATAAAACGGCATTAATATGAATTTCAGCTGATTTCATAGATTATAAAAAACTCTTCACTGGAGCTTTACAATTGGATTGTGAAGATAGTGAAGAAATAGAGGCATTTATTCTATCTGATGAATTCAAAATCTATTATGATATACAACTATGTTGATAACCAAATCATATTAACAGTGTGCAAAGTAAGTAGAATATGACAAAGCACAAATACGTAACAAATGACAGTTATGAAATCTCATGATACAGAATTTAAGATTTCACCGTCATGTTGGCACCGTGCCCCCAGTCCTGGCTTCTGTTGTTTTATTGAAACCTCAAAGCAAACATCCACACACATCTAAAATCCCGCCCTTCCTCATCCCGGCTCCTCAGCTGAACACATTCCAGCCTGATTGGTTTAGCTATTGGCCCAGAGCCCACAGGACGTCTGTATAAAACTCCCCTGGTGCTGAAAACCCGAGTCAGACAACAAGAGAGGCTCTGAGACTCAGTGAGCTTACAGGAAGACTGATTTCACTTTGAAAAAACTGCAACTAAAGAGTGCCGTAAAATGTGTAAAGGATTAGCTGCTTTACCCCAGACCTGCCTGGAAAGGTGAGACCTGTATCCTCATTTTACCTTTCCTGTCGACTCCTAACGCTGAGTGATTTTGATGCAGAACTTTGTGTTTATTCAACCCTTTTAGAAAACAGATCAAAGAGGAAAACTGTGATCATCAGGTCAAGAGTTTCCATCTCTGAAAGCTTTAGTCTTTAAAGCTTCAATTTGAGAACTTTTGAATGAAGTTTTATATATAAGATGTTATATAAAACTTGTTAAGTTTTGATATAAGATGTTTCTTGTCCCTGCTCTCTTCCAACCAATGTAAAAGAAATGTTGCAATGTGACATGATATTGTCAAACTTGGCTGGAAATTAATAAAAAGAACAGACAGAAAGTTTTTGTGTCCTAGAAAAGCACGAGAAAGCAGAGTTTAAGACCTGAAGATTAAGTTTTCTCTCTGTTAGCCCAATTTGAAAGCATTTACTTCAGTATTTCTTTTCCTACATATAATGATCATTCATTTTCTGTATTGTGTTTTCTTCTGCGTGAGCTCTCATACGTTAATGTAGATTGGAAAGGTGTTAAACTTAGAATTAAAAACTATTTCCAACTTAATGTCCCTGTTTTGAATCCCTACTGTGTAAAGAAAACACTTTCTCAACTTTCTTTGTAATCGATGTAATCCTGTTTAAATTTTAATATCAACACAAACTTTAAAAAAGATTGAAAAAACCCTTTATTTAGTTCATTTATTAATAAAAGTTAATGGAAAGTGTAAAACTTTGTGATGCTGAATGTGAGACCTCATCTAAAAATATGGTCTTTAAAATTGAAAGCCTCACTCCTAATGACATCAACTTTTTTCTGTTTCTGTTCCCTCTATTTTTAAATAATCCAACTTGTTTAAAAAGAATTTCAAGAGTTTTTTAGAGAATAACTTTTTAGTTTTATCCATATAAGTAATCTCAGTGTCATGTGTCAGTACAATTCACCAGAAACACATTAGCGAGAGCATCGTGAAAGCTCAGTAAACAGTTTTCCCTTTGTGTCGAGGCAGTTTAAACAACCTCTCTGTCTGTTTTCTGTCTCTCAGAGCAAAGGAGATCAAGTCCAAGCTCGGAGTTTTACTGCAGAAGCCCGAAAATGCCATCGACCTCATCATCCCGTACCCCGAGAAGGTCGAGAAGAAGCCGGAGAAGCTGCAGAAGTGAGTCAACTTTTCTGCCTCAGTCTCACGGGGGATGAGTTTTAGAGCTGTGGGGGGATTTGTTTGTAAGAGTGTCAACCAGATGAGTGATTGCGAAGTGGAAGAGCCATCTGCAGGGACAAGATGTGGAAATTAGAGGGCATTAAAAACCTAACCAAACCTCACCTAGAAGTATTTTCCAGAAGCTTTTTAGGTCAGCAGGCTTTGGCTGAGCCCTAAATTTGTTCTGGTGTTGTATAACTTCCTCTATTTTTAATTGCCGTCCAATATTTGGACAGTAAATCACTCTTGATAGCTTGAAGCCCAACCAGCAACTTGAATTGTTTCCTATATCTTTATTTTCTCCCAGGATGTTGAGATTATCAAAGCGCTTTAAGTTATTTATGGACCGATTTTAAACCACTGGTTTGATCCACCTTGATTTATAATAATGGCAAATATGTCATTCAACTTTTCCACTTTAAAATTGCATTTAAACGGGTCAGCCATGGGAGGTCATCTGCGTGCTTGGGATAAAAACAGAGAAAAGCCTTCAAACTTCCAAACTAGAAATAAGCTCCTCTTTTAATTTTGTCCTCAAAAGTAAAAGAAAAAAACATGCAATTTTAAAATGTGAATATTTTCATTAAAAAGTTTCCAAGTTCGTGTCTAAATGTCCGCTTTGATTTGCATGAAACACACCAGAAGTAATTTATTCACTCTGAATGTCTCCCAGACTTCAATCTTGCTGCAGAGATCAAACAATGCTGTCTAACATCAAAAAGTACCTTTGAATCTTTAAAGCTTGTTATTTGAAGGTTTTTCGGAAAGTCTGGGAGTTTCACTGCGATTATTCTCGATAACAATGAAAACATCACGTAACAGGGAAAAACACATTTTTCTAGGAAATCAAAAACACTGATTTGTAATTTGGTAAAGTTTTAAACCTGCTGTTGGATCCACTTCAAGAATCCTTCCTGTCACGTCTCATACGCACAAGAACTGGAAAAAGTTCAGGTGTTAATTTTAAAACAGGATACCATCCACAGAGCCTGTAGCAAACTTCAGTGTTTCAGATTACATTTCCCAAGCAGGGTGGTGCTTTTTAATTTGTTCTACGTGAGAAACCTGACTGAACTAAGGTACTTTGTGTGCAGGCCCTCTGCAGAGGAAGCGGCTCAGTGGCGTGAGGGTCTGGACCGTGTCCTGAACAACAATTGTAAGTCTACTGATTTCTTTGTCTTCCACTCACTTACTCTCACGTTTTCACACTCATGCACACACTTTTTTTTGCACTTTTTGTACATAGTGACATGCCCAGCCTGCATGGGTGACATGCCCAGCCTACATGACGCCATGAATTAAGAGTCCAGGGTTGGCATGAATACCAGGTCAATATTACAGAACAAAAGAAGAAATCATACACTCATTAAAAAGACTTTGTTGTCTGCCTTTTTTGGGCAAAACTTGCAAACTCGAACACACCAAACTTTAACAACCAGTCCAGTTTTTGCTCATGTGGCAACCAGATTATTAAGGCTTCGATTTCATGAAAAGAGAACTGTTTTTGGTGGCGACTAAAGATCTCTGGCTTCTAGACAAACAAGATGTTAGTTTAGAAGCTGGTCAGGATTAAAATTCTGTTTATTTTGATATATGTCACTGTTTTTTTTTTAATAGATTGTCCAGTAGGTTGCTAACTGAAGTAAATGTGTCAATGAATTTACTACCTTGTTGGCTTTTCATCCGCTCACCTTATTTATTTTGTAGGTGGAGGCGAACTGTTTGTCTTAATTATAATGACAGCGGCTCATATTAAAAAAACAAAACATCCCCAACGGGACGTTAGGTAGATAGATGGGTCAACCAAAGCAACACTTTTAGCCTTGAGATGTTTATCAGTGTTTCGTGTGACGCCCAAAGTCAACCGACGGTTGGCGTTACATAATCTAATTGCACATATATAGGCTGAACACCAGTCTTATGTAACTAAGAAAAATAACCTTTTTTTTTCTGAACCTAAATATGTAGATGGTGCGAGGGACAAGTTCATGAGAAAGAGATTACTTTTTTGTGTGGGCGCCATGCATTCAATTTTTCCTGTGACTACAAAATGAAGCGTGGTTTACTCCCAAATTTCCCGAACAGCTTTTTTTTTTTTTTCCCCGCTTGTTAACAACATCTTCCGCACATCTTTATTCCCCTGAAGGATGCACACTTATTTCCCCCAAGATAACATCCCTTTGTCCAACTCCAGGAATAGAGCACATTTCACCTGTTAGGTAAGCGTATTTCTGAAACGGCAAAGTGTCCCCGCTCTGTTGACTTCATCAGAAGACAACAATCAGAGCGTCATTTTTTTTCTTTTCACTGCTGCGTTCTTTCTTATATAACAGCTGGCACTTTATCCACTCCAAAAGCAGACAACAGGTCTTCTCTGAGCTCTGCTGTCTGTTAACTTGACTTATTTAACAGCTACAGTGCAGCTGGAAGGGTCTGGTTTCCATAACGACATTGTAGCGACTTATATAACTCGTATAAGAAAACCTGTGAACCGCCAAAAACCACATTGTGCACTTTTAATGAACAACTTTGATAACATTTGATTTTAATGTTCCCCTTACATACATTCTTTTAAAGTCATTAAGATTAAGTTGACTTTTTAAAGTGGCGGCTAATAACTGCTGGTTTCCACTCTATCTATCAAATGTGAAGATAGAGGTGAAGCAAAATGAATGTTGCAGAATAATTTCGTCGACTTCTGCAGCTTGAAAAAACTCGGTTAACTCCATCTGCTCCAAAGCTGACGTCCTTCTTTTTACCCAAAGCAGCCCGGGTAAAACCAGACGGACTTTAGGGTTTTGTCTGAGTTGAGCATTGAGAAAGTTATTGAGACTTTGTATCTTTGAGGCACGCCTTTAGTTTGGTTACCTCATTTGTTTCTTCTGGCTTTATTGATTTGTACAACCGAGTGTCGTCTGCATAACAGTGAACATTTACCAAGTGTTTCCTCCTGGTTTTTACACAGAGGAGGCATGAACAAAGTGAAGAGAACCGGTCCGAGCACTGAACCTTCCCACTGAGCAATAGACGGCTATTAGACGTCGAGTTTTTTTAGACCTAATTTCAACCGTCTAGATTCTGTATATTTTTAGACGTTGCACTTTAACCCATTATTTGACAACTATTTATTTCTAAAAGCAACTGTGAGTTTTATAACTGATCTCCAAGTACCTAACCAAAATAATTATGATAGCCATTGAGCGATATGGAGTGTAGTATAGATATAGCCCAGAATCAGACCAGTCTTCTAGGCTACATTTAGACGTCTATTAGACCTCTTTTAGACCAACAAATGCTCAGTGGGTTATGGGACACCGTAGCTGACTTTGGTGTGCTCTGAGAATGAATTATTATTAATGTGGATAAAGTGGTTCCTGCTATGCAACCATTTTTTAGATTGGTAGTCTGTGAAAGTCTACATATTCTGGATCAGGCTACACATGTACAGAAAACAAATCAAGAGGTTAAGCATTGTCCACAGGGGGCGCCAAAATCAACACAAATGACAGACTCCTCAAAGGAGCATTGGGTTCCTACACAAGTGTGGAAAGTATGGAAATAAATTTGATCAATTTTCAGGTCTTAAAAAGTATGGAAAATTAAAAACAAAGTACGGAAAAATACTGATGTTTCCAGACTATTACCACAGTTCTAAAATATTGTTTTCTAAAATAGAAAAGTAGGTATTTCCAGAAAGAACTCTGAAAAATAGGGTATGGAAAAGTATAAAAATTCGAACTGCATAGGAACCCTGTTTTAGTCTATTTTTAGTCACTGCCCTGTGAGGTTACAGGAGTTATCATATTGTTGACTTTTTGAGACTAATTTTTTACTTTTTTAATCAAATTTTGCCGCTGAGGTGCGATTGCACGTCACGGGAACTAAGCAGCCTCCTGGTTTGCTTCACTGTCCACATGGATGTAAATCAGATCCACTTTGAAGAAATCCAGGATCGCATTTCTTAAAGAGCATCCTGCAAATGTTAAACCATTACATAATCTTTGCTCCTGTGTGAAAAAAATAACTTTTCTATCACAACACATACCAGACCTGGGACTCCTGGCTGGACTGTTTACTTCACAGAGAGCGCAGAGAGCCTGGAGACTGATGATTAACTCTGATAGTTGATGCTGTTCAGCCGTGTGTGTGTAAACTCTGCTGCTAATAAGTCACTTGAGTTTCCCCCTGAGCATCAAAACAGAAGCAGGTACAGATGATTCGGAGCGGCTGATTCATGCAGACACACATTTTTCGGCACAGCTAAGTGGGTGGTTGGAGACCTTTTCTTAAGAGGCTCCTTCAGCTCAGTCCGGCACAGAGAGATGTACGATCCTCGAGTGTTTGCATGCCTACATGATTGTGTGTTTGCATGCATGTGTGGTTGTGTGTATGTATTGGCCCCCAGAGGTTATGTGTTATGGTAACATCTCCAGGGAACGGTCAAACTGAATGCACCAGAGTTGATTTATTGCCGAGGTGCTGCGCCGTTAATATTTATCAACATGATATTTTACATTAACGTTTTCTTCCTCATTAACTCTCATGGGATTCTCAGTGACTTATTACCTCTGAGATTTATGGTCACTTCAGCTTCTATATGCTAAAAACTGCATCAAAACAAGTCATGTACTGTACATTATGCAACAGGATAAGACAGTTATGTTTTCTCTTTTCTGCAGAGGGTTTATTTGTACAGCTTTGCAAATCCGGGTCAATTATTGTTAAACAAAGGAATAAAAAAAAGTGCACAATGAAAACGGAAAAGGGCCTCGGTTTCTACAAGTTTTTCCCTCAGTCATCAGCGCACGGTCCAGTGAGCCCTTTGTGCACCTCCCTGTACTGAAGGTCTTTGAAAACCCTTAAAAAAACTGCAGCCTGATTGCGACTCTGTGCTATTTTCAACCAAAGTAGCTGCTCAGATCGGAGATAAAAGCCTGAGTGAGTGCTTATCATCAGCAGCATATGCCCCTCCAGACAATGGGACTCTTGGAGGCTTTATATCAGATCACAATGGTCCTTACTGAAAAGAGTGGCTGTTTTTATCAAGAGCTTTTTCTTGGATCCTTATCTTTGGGTGACTACTGATCTTTAACACGTCTCTGACACATATTCAAAAAAGGAAATTGAGGTTCAATAATGTAGTTTTGATTAGCTCTGTTGTTTGCAATGATTTTTGTGCATGTGTGCAAGAAACTTTCCACTTTTGACTGATTTCTTCACAGACCTTCATGTCTTTTTTTGTTCAAAGTCTCTTAAATGTTCAACATCCATCATTTCTTAATGCACAGTTTCTTTGCTAGTGACTGGTCCACAAATTAAGAGTAATGCTAAAAGTCTTGTCCAGGTTGTCAACAGATACTGCTACGAGAAAGGTAATGCGTTCCCTAGAGGGGAAGACAGGGGCTGTGTCCAAAATGGATCCCTAACCCTGATGTAGGCGAATATATGGGGGTTAGCGCCATTTTGAGGGGTGTGCAAAACCTGAGTGATGAGTTCCAATGCCCCACATAGGCGACTCAAAATTCCCATAGAGCATTGCAAAATGTAGTGACCATCCGACAGTCACTCATCGATGGTGGGCATCCCGTCACACATTGCGTCTCCAGCGGCAGTCTGAGCTCACTACATAGTCAACTATCTAGTAAAACCCCATATGGGGGTTAGGGGTTAGGGATTGAGTGATTCATTTCGGACACAGCAAGGGACTTTATACACACTGGGGAATGAGCAACAGGTGAGGCAGGCGAGACACAGGTGAAACTCATGGGTGATTAACAAAAGGAGTGAAAACTAGGGAAGTAAAACCAGACTAGAAACACAAGGAATCAGCTACTACAAAACAAACAAAACAAACTTCTATAAAATAACACTGAAAGCTGCTCTAAAGAATAAAACACAGAGAACAGGAAGGAAACAGGGTCAAACACAAACTGAGAACTCACAAGATTGGACTACAGGAACACTGGGGAAAATACAAAGAAAATAGACTCAGAAAACATAACCAGGGAAAAATTAGATCAACAGAACACAACATGACAAATACGTGGATCCCATGACAATGGTAATTTCAGAGCCCCATTTGCACATGTGTATTGTGTTTCCACGTCAGAATCATTTTTATACAAAGGAAAGACTTTTCTATTTTTTATAATAGGGCTGGGATCAGAATTTGTTCGTGCCATGTGATGTAAATGCGCTCCTTTGTGTTTGAAATGGCACATAGATGCAGATGAGCGTGGTCTAGACCTGCTCTTGTTCTTTAAAAAGCGTCTTGAGATGACGAATGTTGTGAATTGGCGCTATATAAATAAAATTTGATTGATTGATTGAGATGTGATTCAAAGAGTGTCTTTTGTTTTTTAGGGTTCAGGTTCGGTTTGGGTTAAGATCCTGCAAAAGAGCAAACAATGAAATACTTTCTACTCCGTCTATTTTTTTATGTTAACTACAAAGAGCGAACACATGGAGATTAATTAAAGATCATTTCATCTCATCATACTTCCCCTCGTAAACAGATGTAATTAGACTCTCTATTTATTCTCCACCCATTACAAACAGAGACGTTTCCCTTTTTCCTCTTTTCTCTCTGCTTTTTTTTGTAAATAATCATAATACCTCGATTCAAAAAAAGAAAAAACCATCATGGAAGTGCTGGTGTGATTTTGAGCATCTGTTCACGTAGGCAGCAGTTTTGCAAAAAGTATGACATGGAAATGATGATGAATAAACGTTAGAGTAATGGGTTTAAAACTATCAATGTCATTAGATGTTGTATCAGTGATATTTGTCCTTCAAATTGGCAGACACTCTCTGTATTTCTCTCACGTTTTCAGGATAATTTTCCTCTTTTGTTACCCGACTATGACAAATGAGTAACCTGATTCTTTCATAAATGTAGAAATGACTAATATAGATTCATGCATGAGTGAAGAAATAGCATATATAACTTTATGTTTCTGATTTCATATTGAACTAAATGCAGTTGCTAAATTGGATTTGACATTTTGGGAGTAATACTGCTGCTGTGATTCAGGGAAATATCTCAAAATTTGATCCAAACTTTAATATCCAGCATATATTTCGCCTGTCTGATTTATTTATCTCTCTCTGCATTTCTCTTTCCTCTCTCCGTCAGATGGTCTGAATGCTTTCCGTGGCTTCCTGCAGTCTGAATTCAGCGATGAGAATATTGAGTTCTGGATGGCCTGCGAGGACTTCAAGAAGACCAAGAACCCCGTGAAGATGTCCACCAAGGCCAAGAAGATCTACGAGGACTTCATCCAGTCTGAGGGACCCAGAGAGGTGAGGGATTCCCAACACTTCACCTATTTGTAACAAGTTTATCATACGTAAAAAGTCACTGGTTAAGGGATACATTTTCAAGATAATCCAGATTTTGAGCCCCATCAGCATTTCTCCAATAACAAGCAGAAGTTTAATGCATAGAGTAGCATGGAGGCCATATTTATAACCTGCAAACCAACCTAACCCTAACCTCCATTGGAATGCCCTCCACATATCTTTGACATATGGCAGCTGCAGTTTTTATCACGGCTGCGTCGTTTAATCAAGATCGTTTGCAGCATTTCATGAGAAACTTCTGTTTCTGTTCAAAGGGAGAAAATTAAGAGATTGGATATTTGCCTGTGCAACAAATCGCTCGCATGCAAAAGAGTAAGAGTCTTTGTTTAATCAGCGATTGAATGCATGCAAGAGAAATACAGGCGCGCCTGTGTGTAAACAAATGAGGTTACAGACATAATATTCTGAGATGATGCACACCAATGAACTGTGCACAGACGAGATGAGACATGGGGGGTAAACACTCAAACTTTGCACGTTTTTAAGAAGTAAATCCATCTGCTTCCTGTCTGAATTTCACTGTACTGTGACAGCTCTACATGAGCGTGTACGTTTGTTTGTCTTTATCATCGATGCGCTGACTGTGAATGACAACATACAGCTGGTGTAGTTCTATCCAAAGGTGAACCAGTCTTTCTGCTCGGGCTTGAAAATTGAATTAATTGAAAGTTAAATTGATTGATCCGGAAACCAACCATTAAAAAATTTAGGACCGTCAAACACATTAATTAAAATTCTTCTTCTGACCTTCATGGGACGTCAGTAAATGCTGTAACAGTGGCGTTGTGGATGGCGAGCAGAAACACATCCTCGAGCTGAAATGGACAGTAAAATTGAATTATCAAGGACCAGGTCCGACGTCACTCAAAACCCCAAAAAAGTCAATGAAGTTTGAACTTCTCCATGCTGCTACGAACTCTCATGAGTCTCATTACATAATGTTAAATGTCAAGTCGATCCCTGTCTGTTTAATCAAATCCCTGATGCACAAACATGCATCAGCGTCCAAAAAACAAATGTTTGCATAAATTTCATTCCCAGCCAACAGCTATTACAAGCCTCACAAAAACAAAATATGGTGGTCACACATGTTGAACATAAATGTGGTGACATTTATCAGGATACGTTCAATACTGGGTTGGTAAAATGAGAATTAAGTAAAGGCAAATTAAACAGCGACATAAAAAAAATCACATTTTATTTTCCCATGTACATGAAATAAGTATTACAGCACTTAGGGCCACAGTAAAAAAAAAAAATGACAGTTGTTGAAATGAGAGCCAAGGAGCATTTTGTGAAAATGTACTTTAAGATCATTTTCTCAAACAAGGAGATACTTAATGTTTTGGCACATCAGCACCACATTATCATAAGTATCATAATGATTTTATAATGACTTTATTCTCTTTAGTAACGACTCTGTTCTCAAATTAAACGACTTCAATCTCAAAGTTTTAATTTTTTTTTTTTCTTAATGTGGCCCTAATACTCCATCGTACTTAATAGCACAAGTTCTATGGGGCTTATAAAACAGATTAAAACTATCAATACTAAAAGATTTTTTATAAAGAAAACACTTTCTATGAAGCCCAAATACACATTTACGAATACATTTGTAATGCATTATAATTTGCAAAAAGTGCTGTACGATCATGGCTGTGAGTTCTCACTGATTCATAGCTTATTCTGATGCCAGAGTAACAATTTTCATCTTGCCTTAAAACGATACCAAACAATAAAACTTCTGAAATAGTTGGTTAAATTCAGGGCTTCTGATTTGGCAACACTGCTGGAAATTTTGTGTTTTTAGGGCGACTTCTTCTGTTTTTTTTTTCATGCTTTCATTGAGAGGATAAATTTGGACTTTGGAAATAAAAAGCAGGGATCGACATGGGAAAAAGAGCTGAAGGTTAGAGTGAAACCCGGGGCAGCTGCCTCAAGGGCCGCATCCCCCTGCACATGGGGCCTACGACCTCACCGCCGAATTAAATCAGGACCCCAAAAGTTGACTCAGGACAGGATTTTAATATCCGCTGTGATTTCATGAATGGGAAGTTCAACCCAAAACCTTCGAGTGCGACAGATGGGAATTTGCTTATACTTGAATCAGCTCCGTGTTGTAAACATCAGGACTCTGATTCATGGAAACATCTTGTCGCACATGGGACTCGATTGTGTTTGTTTATACTTCATCCGGAACAACCTTTGCGGGTTACATAAGGGTCGATTAATTGCGCGGTAGCATCCTTCCCAAACTGGAGCTGAGATCGTGTGGAAAGTCCGATCTCATGCTCACACCTTCATCTGCTTTAGCTCCACTTACTTCGTCTTTAACATCTTGTCCTGTTGTCTCCCCCTTCAGGTGAACATTGACCACTTCACCAAGGATGTGACCCTGAGAAACCTGGTGGATCTCTCCTCTGTGACCTTCGACCTGGCTCAGAAGAGGATCTACGCCCTGATGGAGAAGGACTCCTTCGGTCGTTTCCTGCGGTCTGAGCAGTACCAGGAGCTCCTGGTCAACTAAGCGGGAGGAGCCGGCGGGGCTGGGTCGGTTAGGGGGAGGGGCGTTTCAAACAGCAGCTACCTAATATGGACACAAATTCTTAAATTAATCGTCTAATAAACCACTTTTGTCTAACACGGTTTGAGTATTCAAGACTTTTATTTGACCGGGATCCTAAATTAAACTCTCCAAATTGTACGACAAATTTAACAAAGACTGCCTTTTGAAATACCCCCCCTCCCCGACAGCAAACACACCAACACACAAATATTCATGATTATCTATACTAGTGAGGACCTAACATTGACAACAGTACGTATTATTTCAGTAAAAAAACCTCACAAAAGGTAGAAGTACAACAACAACACACTCAAATATATAAACACACATGCAGAGTCGAGATACAGATACTGTAGATGCATCTTTCAATTACAACACTACTGGCTTAGTGTCGTAGTTTGGCCACAAATTCACGTCTTTCACAGGTCAGGTGCAAACTGTACGCAAAGTATCGTCCTGATAGTGTCCCGCAACTTGTGCATCAAAGTGTTGTTGAGGCTACAGCAGAACCAGAGGTGATGATCTTCATTCTAAATTTTATCCGCAAAATAGTCACTAAATCAGTTTCATCAGTTTTCTGCTCCGGTTAATCTACAACAGCACAGGTGAAAGGAAACAGGCGACACATGCACATAGATCTGTTTATTTTCTGCTGACCACCTAGATCATCATCATCATCACCAGTTTAATACTGTATGTCTTATCACTGCAGCAGCCTGAACATGAAGATTATTGTACTCTGCTTTCTTGAAGTATCTTGAATTACCTCAGAATATTATTGTGGTAGTGTGGCTGTTGTGTTCTTTGGTGTTTGTTTATGGAGAGATCAGTTAGCACCAGCATGCAGTTGGGAGAAATATGGAACCACCAAGAGGGACAATTTGGGTCTAAACCTAAAGAATGGTAACTAAATCAAAATAAGTCGACTTTCTCTTGACAAAGAAGAGTTTTCTTTTCTGTTTTTTGGCTCTCAATTTCTCATGCGATCAAGTCAAACTTTTAAAAGATCTACTGGACAGGCACCGACTTAGTTTGGGCAACACTTTGCGGCACAAGTATCAAGTGGCTGCAGGAACAATTCAGGCTAGAAATCCAGAATTCGACACAGACACAAGGAGTAAAACCTTTTAATATTGAATTTGCTGATGGAATTCGACTATTTTGCTCAATCATGGCCCAAAAAGGTTTGCGATGTTGTGTAAATGGAGAACTGGTTTTAATCAAAAACTAACATTTGTTTTGGGTCAAGTCCAAAAAAAAGCATATTCTCCAAAAGTCCATCTAAAAACTTCAAAACCAGATGATCTCTTCAAAATACAGTAAACAGTTGGACTCTTTTTTCCTTGCCTTGGGCACAAAGTAACCTCCCAGAGCTTTTTCACAGAACGGCTCAACTTTAAGAGGCTCTAAGTGAAGAGAAACGGATAAACCCTGGTTATAAATCGGCGGATTTATTAGATAGTACCCTGCAGAGAACTGTGATTTATCATTTCAGTAAGCAGACCTCAAACGCAGCCTTCATGACCTTTTACATGCGTCCGTGCTTGACACAAGACGATCACGTGACTCACTCATTGTCTCCTCAACTCTCTCACACTCTTTTAAAGTAAAGTTTGGATTTTCACCAAACCCCGGGTTTTAATTGGGATGCATCCTGTGAGAGTCATCTCTGAGAACAGTGCCGGCTGGTTGGCTCAGTGGTCGAGCTCCTTGGCTACCACTAAAATGCAAGTTGCTAAGATGGGAAAACCTAGTGGGAGGGAATCTTATTAAAAGAAAGGAACGAGCAATGGTTTAAACAGAGAGGTCTTTTTTTCCATGTGAGAAATACCAAAGTTGGATGCATCCGTGCAGAGTCACGAAAAAGTCCTGACATGGTTTCAGTGTTAGGGAAACACAAGTTAAAACTTTATATGATGCCAACCTTATTTGAAGTCTAGAAAAGCGAAGGAAAGGACAGCACCAGAGGTTGTTTTAAGCCACATTAATCACAATCACACTTGTCTTATATTCAACGTTTAACACTTTATTTTCCACTTCTTCACAATGACAATAAATGCTGGTGATTAAAGGGGATGTGGTGGTGGTGGATTTGGTGACGGTGTTCAAGTATATAACCTTCAGCTGAATGTAGCAACCATTAAGTGTGATTATATATTTTACTGCTTTTTTATAGTAGAAAACATAAGTAGAAATGTTTTAAACGACACAAGAGTATTGTTATCTAGATATTCAGCACTTTATGAGTCCTTATTGTTCACAGAACTGAATCTATTTCACTCAAATACAAATTTTTAACACTTGTAGTGATAGTTTACAAGGTATATTTTATAACTGCAACTTGTTTTTTCATCTATAACAAAGAAAAACATCAGATTAAATGGAGAATATGACATTTATGTTTTATCAGTAAGGGTTTATGATGGCACAGATTGGCCAGTCTGGTGTCAAAACCTTTAATGTCAACAATCACGCCTCAAAATAACCAATAAGGGCCTCAACAGTGCTGAGTATGCATTATTCAATGTAGCTTTGCATGTACGTTTTGGAGTGGTCCACATAAAAATATATATGCTCACAATTCCTGAAGATGTATTTATTTTTCCATGTAAATACCAGCTATTTGCAAACAATTGTGTCTAAGTTATTCTTAAATACAACGATGGAGTCCTTGATTCTTTGACAGAGTCCTTTCCAGATCTCCATTATAAGAGTGTTTTAAACCAACAACATAAAAGAGGAAACGCTTCATTTTCTTTTGTCACTTTGTTTTTCTTCATTCTTTATCTGGTGATTTTAATGTGTGGAGAGAAAGAAAGAAAAACACCTCATAGTTGAATGTTTGAAACTATAATGACAAACTAAAATGTATTTGAAAAAACAAGGGCAATGCAAAATGTCAGGAGGTGACCATGAATATCTGGTGTCGCTCATCGGGATGTTTCGTGTATAAGAATCAGGCTCTCAAATGCAGCAAATTAGATTATCCATGCATTGTCAACATCATAGCTCACTTTCCTCTTTTCAGTTGTCAAACATTTATTTGTTCTGGAAGGGGTATAGAGTTTTCTCTCATTTCCAATGCCGTTGAGATTACAACAGTCAAAGAAGCAAACATATCAAATTTACAAAACAATGGAATCAAATTGGGGGCGTGCTAATCAGTCTCATCCACACCTGACTGTTGTGCCTTTACATATATTATCATACCAACAACTAAGATTAAAAGCTAACAATTTATCTGCTAATATCTCATTTGTAATGGGACACTTCATGACATCAAACGTGCCTGCGATCTAACTCGAGAAAATTCAGCAAAATACCGTATTTTTCGCACTATAAGGTGCACCTGATTATAAGGCCCACTATCAATGAATGCATCTATTCACATCTATTTTCATACATAAGGTGCACCAGTTTATAAAGCGCATTAAGCCAAACAAAACAGTCAGATAAGTCAAACGTTATTTAACTCATTCAATAACTCTGCGAGGCTACGGTAGATGCAGTGCTCCGAAAAGCCAAAAGGATTTTAAGTGCACCTTATAGTGAAAAAAATACGGTAGTAGATTTTGAAGAGAGGGTGAGATGATGTTCTAGCTTAGCTAACAAGCTATCAGCTAAAGTCTATTTTATTAAATCTAGTCACATAATGTTGATTGTCTAATAAGTTTGTGTGATTAAAAATAACTTTTCAAGAACTTTAAAGCTCCAGAGAGGAGCTTTGTTTGTGACAATTTTGGCGCCCCCCTGTGGACAAAGCAGTCCTTCTGTATCAGGCATTAAAAATTTGGGTATAAAATGCATCAGTGTTGTTGCTGATGGTCTTGTTTACTTTTGTGTGAAATAAAAAAGCATCAATATGAATTTCTGTCAATTTCACAAACATAAAAAAACTACTCTTTAATAATGTTTTTCTGCCAAACGTGATTATATAAATATGACTTTATGATACATTCAGATTGTTTGTCAGTCAAAGACAAAGCTAGTGTGTTTCCATGACTACAGGTAGCTTTTATCAGGTTTCTATCCATCCTTGTGCTGCACACATACGTGGAAACAAGGCCTAACAGTACAGTGTAGACAGCTTCCCATCAGCCAAACACTCTACTTAGGATCGAGTGATATTAAGCAAATGTTAGCATGACAACACGTTTAATCAAGATTGTGAGCACTGTCAACACTTAATCTGCTAACAGATGAACATGTCGGTTCACCGCAGCGTGTTGGCACTGTCACCTTTGAAGCATGTTAACATATTGATCCTATTCGCCAAATTCATCGCAGTGTCTGAATAAAATGTTGCAGATCTTCCAGTCTGATTTCCCATGATTGGGAATATTCAATCTTATGAGTTCTTGGAAAATAAACACAGCGTGTCTCTGGGAAAATTTGTAATCAGCAGGGTCAACAGCATGACAGTAATGCTGCGTCTGTCCTCGATACGACCAAATCTGTGGCGTGATTCATCACTGGTTTTTGAGCGATCGCGGTTACATCCAGTTGTGTTTTGTTGATTTAAAGAAAAGGGTTAATTACACGTCACTATTTGGCAACTTCCAAGGAATTGTGTAATTATTTCCTGGATTAATCCGTGTTGCCTTGACGCCAACGAACCGACAGATCAAACAAAAAGACAGAGATGAACCAGACCTTCAAGAAAAAAACTCCCCAGTTTGACAAATCTGTTCCCTCTTTTCATCATTTGTCTCGATGTTCGTTGCCGTACGGAACAAAACATTGTGTGAGGATTACGCCACTTAAACAGGTCAGTGAGAAACGAGTGAAAAACAGAACGGAAACAGATGCAGCCGTGGAGCTGGCTGCCAACACAAACAGTGTCAGAGGCTCACTCGGACGCATCCATTACTAGCCCAGTTCCTCGAAAAGGATGGAAAAAGGTCAGATTCCTTCGGTCCCTTAAGGGGGCTGGTGACATTTGTGAAAAAATTTAGTTAAGTGTTAGTCGCTGCTTGTGCACGTTCGACACACTGTGGCGTTTTTTTGAGGTTTTCTGGTCAGTCCCTAGAGTATTGTGCATATCAGAAATGATGTCATATTAGAATAGATTTTACTAACAAGTTTCTGTTTAAGTGAAGCAACACAAGACTGAAGGAGGAATAATCCATGATTTATGAAATAATTATTCTGATTAAAACAGCAGAAGTTTTTTCTTCTTTAATATCCTGTTGATTCTTCTTCACATATGCCTGACAATGAGGTAAAATTCACTCCTAAATAACTCTGTGATAAGGTTTAATAATGTTTTCCCAGAATGATTCATTTCTTCGTGTTTGCCAGCGGCTGTAAGTTACCCTCCAAATGAAACAGACCCGCAGAGATTGTCAAATCTTATTCTGGGAGCCAAAACTCTCGATAAGAAAGTGCTTGTTACATCTGAAAGTCAGTTAATGTTTTGATTTCACCTTTATACTGAATGTTTTACCACCATGCTGCCATCTAGACTTGGGAAAACACAGATAATATCAAGGTCTAAAGTAGTCAGTTGATGGATTGACTCTGTAAAACTTGAGTGCTGTTTTTGTTTACTCAAGCGCCGTTAAAAGGCAGGGGGCGCGGGCGCTGCAGGATTCGAGAAGCTGATTACTCACAGAGTTCCCCATGAAAAAGAAAAGAAAGCTTCACCCGACATCGACAACATTGCGGTCAAGATTCCTTTTAGTTTCAGGACATTTTATATGATTTAGAGAAAGAGGCTGGTCTGTTTTTATGTGGGAGAAAAAACATGATATCCCCTCGGTGATATCTGTGGCTGGCATGGAAGTCCACCGCTGACAAAGCTACACCCACTGGGTTTCCATCCACCCAAAGTTGGTCAAGGACCGAGCGCTGTGAGCTTTAACAGAACTGAAAACACATGTTTATTTAAGAGTGAAGGTAAAATTGCTGCTTTGGAGGCTGCCAGCCGTTTCTTCATCGCAGCCCCGCTGCCCTTAAATGATGATGTTTTTCTGATTCTGTTTGGCCGACCAGTTTGAAATGGTGGGAACAGTGTTGGCTGGTGATTGACAACAAAGTGGACTTGGATTTGTTCTCTGGAGAGTGAAGAATTATGTTCTCACAACGTGTCTTATGGGAAAGAAAAATGTTATTTACGAACAAAAATACAGTTGTGAAATACACACACGGGATTAGGATTACCTGGGAACCTCTGGTAAATAATAAGTGACCCCCTGATGTCTGCGTTTGACGTGGTGCTGTCATGAACCAGAGCACAGAGTGGAGGACATTCAAGCTGCGTTTACATGGGCACAAATAATCGGAATAAAGGCCCAATCTGAGTAAAAATGCGTCATGTAAGCATTTGAATCAGCAGATTCTGATCCAATTCAGCTCAATCGGAAAGAAATTGTATTCCGGTCAAGATGGGGGGTTTATGCCGGTCGTTATTCTGAAACGCGTATAAACACTTATTAAAAAACACTTCACTCTTAATTCATTAAGGCCAGTTCAGGAGGTTTCATTATCAACACTCTGGCATAAAACACAACCGCAGGTACCATGTCTGCGTACATACAGCGTAACGATGTCACATCTGCACACACAGAACAACCTTTGACTTTAAACTTTACGTAAAGAGATCCACGTTCAGTCCGTGTTTTCATGGCCCCAGCTGAATCCAATTGTATTGTATTGTATCAATGGGAATTGTTAATAGGAACCATTGTTTTAGTTCCGTTTTAGAGTTGCGCACGGACGTGTTTGTGTGTGACACCGCCGGAGTTACCAGACCGAGCAGAGTAAGGAACCCGATGTGTTGAAGTCTAATAAAAGTATAATCCAGCCGGGTTACACAGCAAGAAGTGTACGCTTCATAAGTAGCACGAAACCACACACTTTCACACTCCACCGTCCAGTTTTTCTTTTTGTTCGCCATGTTTGTTATCGTTTGGGCGCGCTCTGCGTACGTCACTTCGTGCCTCTTACGTACTACCGAGCGCCTGCGTAGAGTCGTAGACCGAACAAGCCTCTCTGTAAACCCAATCCGCTCCACTCAGCCGTATATATGGAGCATGGAGCGGATTATCAATCGGTGTAGACTACCTCTTACAATCCGACCCCAAATACAATAAGATCCGGGTGAATCAGATTGGCTAAGGTGTTTATATGAGACATTTTGAATCTGATTGACCTTTCAATCTGATTGTAAATAGGATTTTTGGACCCATGTAAACGGGGCCCATGAGACCCAGGAGGTTAAATACAAGAGGTAATGAGAGTGATGGGAAACAGGTGGGGAGACGCAATCAGGCAGCAGGTGTGACAAGACGGGGGCAGGGCAGAGCAGACAGGAACAAAACTAGAAAATCGAAACAAGGGTTAGAGAGCGACAAATTAAACAGGAAATACATGACATGAAACAAAACATAAATGTGCAAAAATAAAAGGAAACTTAACCAACATGACAGGTGCATGTGCACTTGATAGCTTAAGTTAGTAACTCAACTGGTAAAGGCTGAGTTATAATACAAGTATCATCTAGAAACATTGATTGAAACAGACAGTGAAGACAAGCGCAGCTCATTGATGACTCTTTCATATTAAGAGATCATTAACTAGCTGTAATGAGTGTGTCTAAATACAGCCTTTACAGTAAATCCCATATTTTCTAAAGCATGTTGCGTTGACCTTGACTCTAAAGCACCACCTGCCTGAGAACGAAGCGTTTCCATATGTTCAACATCTTGGTTTTGTTTGGAAAGAGATCAGAAATCAGGATAAATGATGAATCGACTCACATACGTTACATAACTGACGCAGCACGTTCACTTTACGTATTACTTAACCAATGCAGCATGAAACACACATGAAAAGTACAGCTGTGCTAGACATTGCATAAGTCATGAGGAAGAATACCTTTGAGAAAAGTACAGGAATTCAACTATTCTGGAGTCTGGTGAAACTCAGGCGTTCGAACCATCCATCACCTAAGCTTTCTCGTCTTTATTCTAGTTGACGTCTCTGTGAGGAGTTTTTAAGAAGGAGTGCATACACTAAAAATGAAAATGAGCTTAAAAAAGTCAACAATAACATCTGTGACAAGGCTGGCTATACTTGTATTAAAGGGTCGGTGTCAGACTAGACAGCTGAAAGGGTGCTGAAGACTGGAAGAGTTACATTTTTCATCCAAAAACAAACTCTTGGAGGTCACCACATTATCATGTCCGAAACTCCCAGTTTTAAAAACATCACGTTTTCAACATCGGCACAAGCCTGGCGTGAAACCAACATAAAGAAGTGGAACAAACAGAAAGTACCTCAGCCTGTCTGTATTAACAAGAATCAGGAATGAGGTAATATGTGCTTTCGCTCGGCGTTGATGGTATTCAGATCAGCGGGCCTGGCGAGTATCACTGTTGCAGAGCTGCGTCCTGAACAAACACTGACGAAGCAGAGTAAGAAATCTGTTAGTCTAAGAAAACTGATCCGATCTGCGCAGAGATGAAAACAACTCTATGGTTATTCTTGGCGCAGTTTTTGCAGGTGGATGTAAAACCCAGCCCTCGTGTCCTACAGTGCTGCTTTGTTGCATAAATCTCAACATAATAATCTGACGGTTTGTTCTTGAAAAAGGAGGCCTCTCACCTGTCGATTTCAGCCTTTATGATAAACACTATTTTTGTGTGTTTTCATCCCCACAGAAGTATAAACCAAGTCTTTTTTAGCGGGATTTCTCAAGAACTGCTGGTTTCTCCTCAAATTTCGGTGGTAGGCCTTTGTGATGAACCAGTCAGATTTTGGTGCTTTGAGGTCAAAGGTCACTGTGTCTTTACAGAGTCCCATTCTCATACTCAGCTTTTCTGTCGTCTGCAATTATTCAGTGGAAAATTTCCTCCCTCTGCTGACAGTCATAACCTCCTGAGGGAAAACAGCGAGACAGCGAGT